TTTAATATTTAGGTTGTTTACATTTATCAAAATGTTATAACTGAATTTATTGAAGACTTTAATGAAATAGTATTTTCTTGCAAGTTTGGAAATTTCTTCATTTATTTTAAAGCTGACTTTTCTTCTCCTTAGCTCATGGGCTAGCAGTTTTGCCATGGGTCATACATGTTTCTTTGCTTCTCTCCTTTTAAGTTCTTTGAAGACTTGAGCATATGCCTAATTTTATGACTTGTGTCAAGTTACACCAGTAAGCTGTGGTATGATTGGCGTCTTAAAACACTTTTTGTAGAAAAGAGGAAGGTACATGCTAAACTACTCCTTTTTAGTCTAACAAATGTGTTGTTGTGCTGGTAGGGAAGGTTTTTAAGATGAGAATTGTACTTGTGACAAGCTCCCAACCTATCCTATGTCTTTAGCATGGTGCAGAATGGTATGGCCTTGTCTGTGTCATGAGTCAGTGGCTGTATGTGAGGTCCTTTAAAGGCTATTCCTATGTTTCAGTGTCTCTGCTACGTAGAGTCATTAGCCAAGGACTTGACTGCACCAAATTCCTTCTGTGTAAAAAAATTCCTATGTGATCTAAAGGCTCTGAATTTTGGACTGTGACTCATTCATCTGTCTCAGTGAATGGACTGGCTGTCTACAGAGGTATGGCAGGTCGGAGCAGCAGTTACTTTGGCTCCACTGATTTTTGCACAGTGGTATATATAGTAATGTTTTAGGTGAATTATTCAGTCTTGTATTTAAACCTCCTAAATGTATCTAGGTCTTTGTTTCTTATAGGTTGGCTTTTGCTTTGGGTTCAGCTTCTCTGTAATTTTGGCTCCCATCTATAACATAAAAATATTACTTATGGGACTGTTTGAAGGTAATCATTAACGTGTGTGAGGCATTCAGATATTATGAAGGCGGTGATGTAATCAGCTAGATAGATTCCCTAGATGGAAGTGGGGCTTTTGGGATCTTACATGCTCTGAGAAAAGTCCTGGGTGGACTCATCTTTGTGATACTTAAGAAACAAAACAAAAAACCCACAAACTCTGCAGATATTTCTCCTAGACTCTATCTAAAATTTACCCATGTTTGTAAATCTTGGCCCTGGACTATGATGCAGTTTTATCAGATTAATTAAGAAAAATTAATAGATTAATGTATTGGAATTTATCTTTAATGGCATTCACTTTTTCCTGTCTGGAAATGTTGCATGTTCTTGCTGCTGGCTTTCAGGTCTCTGACTGCTGGAAATCTGTGCATTGCTATCCTTCTGGAGTACTCATGGAAAGGTAACTGGCTTTTCATTTACTTCATTTTTCAGGAGGATGGTATGTCTGCCAGATTTTGAATTTTTTTTTTTTTTCCTCCCCCTTTCTATGTTTATTGCCTATGTCTGTCTGTTAGAGGCATATTAATCACAGTGGCAATTTTTCTAGTCTATATCTGGAACACTAAATATTATCATCCCTACTATACAAGTTGCCATTTGACACTTCAAATATTCATCTAAATAATTTTAGATATTTCTTGCTGACAGTCACAATTATTTCCTCTAAATGATTTCCTTGCAGTTCCGGATGTAATGCGTTGCGCCTTGGCTAGTAAGGATTTTTATTGTTAAGCTTAACCACAAGACAATGACTGTAATTGCTTTTTGAAGACAATTATGATGGTACCCACTTTAGCAAAAGACATCAAGTAGTTCAAGCAGTTTACTGATCATATTAATCTTCCCTCGCTAGGTTTGATTAATGTTGAGGTGTGTGAGGAAATAAAAGGAAAAAAAAAAAAAAAAAGGCTCAGAGCTAATTTGTTCTCAGAGTTGGGGAGAAATTTTTTATAAAATATAAAATCAGTGTTTGATGTAGACATATGAAATCTTCCTGATTATCTTTTTATACCTTTATATTATATTATTATAAAATATTTTAATATATATTTAAGTGATTACTTCCAAAGGATTCTTCCAGAAGACAGTGTAAAATGTAATGTGTAAAATCTTAGCTGTACATTCTTGTTAACAAAACTGAAACGTTGAATATCATCAGGTAAAAATGGCTTCTTCCTTAAAACATGTTTACTAAGCTTCTGATTGTCTGTGACCAAATAATTGTTTTCAGCTCCATTAACGGATTTACTTCAGATGTAAAACCACAGAATTACGAGTAGCAATGGATGATTTAAAGTGACATCAGTCAACTTGATTTTTGTAACTGTCCAAAAATGTTAAATTTCTCAACAAAGTACCTCTAAGTAAGTCAAGAGTTCTTAAAAAAAAAAATAATCTTTGAAGATACATACTAGAGAATTTTTAAGTCTCCTTATCTTATACAGAAACTAGCAATTCCTCACTCAAACAGTAAGAACTTAAATGATACACAAGGTGGGGACTGTATAATTACTGATAAAAATATATACAGGTGATCTTATAAGTGCTTTTGTATTTTCTATTTCAAACAAGTTGATTGTACATCTTTAAATGAACAAGGCTATGTATTGTATTTTATTGATATAACTTAATTTTTTACCACTGTGCTTCATTCTCCAGGTTTGGGGTTTTTTTTTTAATAACTGATCATAACTGATTTTTTTTTCCACTGCTATGAAGTTGAATGAGAATAATTATTAGTGCGCTGTTTTGTTTGGTGGTTGTACTGCATTAATAGCACATTTCCTCTGAGGTGACAGTTCACTACAGAACTGTCTTGTACAAGTATTTCAGTGATTTTTGTGTATTTGAACTTGTGACTGAATCTGAAATTCAAAAATTAATTACATGACAAAAGAAGCCCAGAATTTTTTTATAACATATTTTCTTCTGCCAGAAAACATTTAACTGCTGGTAGCTTTTAATTTGAGCAAGAAAACTGAAAACTCTAAAAGAAAATTTGCCTGTTTTGAGTAATTTATTAGTTTAAATACAGATAGCAGTTAAAGCAAGCTCTGCATAGAACATTATACTTGATGACCTGTACTCTTCACCAAAATGGCGTAGGTTCTGTCACCAAGTTGCAGATACCCACCTAGAGTTCTACAGGTTACTTACAGGCTTTCAGATCACTGAATCATATTTACTGTTTTGAAAATCTTTTGACAAGTTGCTCCATCATCTCGAAACCCAGTCCCTTAGAAACACACACGTAATTTCTTTCGAGGATGTATGTAATAGAGATATATCCAATGGATTTTTATTTATTTATTTATTTATTTATTTATTTATTTATTTATTTATTTAAAGAGAGAAGTGGATTAACATCTTTTTTCATGATGGCTGAATCTCCATTAAACACATGAATCAAGTATGTAGGGGCCACATAAGATATGTCATAAAAAATACCAGTGTAAGTTTTCCTATAGTCTTTCTAGATTCAGTCCTGATTTTCTAAAGATTATAGGGTATCCTTCACCTTTCTCTTAAGTATGCTAAATATTTCTGACTGTAATCTTTTCTGTATTTTATGTGCAATACTTCTACTAGGAAATGTTCTAATTCAGCTCGTAGGTATCCTGTTAGTTCTCAGACTTAAGGTGAATGAGAATGATGACAGATGAAAAAAAGTTAGAATAAAGATTTTTGAAGTAACTTTCTTAGAGGGAACACCATTTCTGAGCAGCCAGAGGTACAATGGTTGGGTTAGTTAGTTCAGTTGCCATCTGAGAGAAGTGAAATTGAGTATCTGAAATATTAGACAGGAGACAGAAACAAATGACAGTAAAGAAGCTGAAATTGCTAAGGGAAATAGAGGGATTAGCCAGAAATCAGACACTAGAAATGGTAGGTGAAGGTAAATCTGGAAAGTATTCCCAAGGAGAAATGATCTTACATAGTATTCCCAAAAAAAGGAAAAAAAAAAAACCCTGTCACCAGTTTATGAAGTATATAGGCAGAATTATTTAAGCAGGTCTGTGCTTTTCTCTATCTGTATTTTAAGAATAAAGCCTTATTTGGAGACTTAAAATATTCCAGGTTTAATTGGAGAATTCTGTGTGTATGAAATGCTCGACTATGAAAAGAATGAAATAGGCTTGTAGGAATATCTGAGGCTTATGAACAAGTGATTAGAAAATGTACTGCATATTACAAAAATTTGTATGCAAACACTCATGCTTTTTTTTTTTTTTTTTCTTTTTCCTAATCTACTTTCTCTCATTTTCAGTGATAATCAATAGTTTTCAAAATACCTCTTGCAGGTCAGGCTTAAATAGGAGAGTTGGTTTCTCTAAATTGTGTCCCATCTGGCAGTTGTGTCTCTCACTTCTGCGTCAAATAAAAGCAAATTAAACATGAAATGTAGGAGTTGGTGGAAAATGTTTTGTCTTCTCCTGCCGCTTGCCCTCCTCCTCTTCTTTATTAGTTACTCATGAATGTATTTACCTTGTGGCCCTGAGGGCATCTTTTATATGCTGAAGCTTTCATGTTCCCTCCTTAAATCAAAGTGCTTCTGTTCGGTACGGCGGGGTTAACAGGCCTGTGAAATCACAGGTATAAATTCCTCAGCATTTGAACCTTTGAAAACTAGAATACTGTGATAATGTCCGGTGTCGCTGGAGCCTATTAGCAGGGCTGTTAGCTTGTGGTGAAAGCGGCGCTCCCCGAAATGTCAGGCAGCGGGGCTGTTGCCGAGAGGTAATTAGGAGCAATTAGCCGGTCTCCCTGCTGGGCAGTCTGTTACCTCTCTCCGCTCCGCCCTTCCCCCTGCTGCCGCTGCAGGGCAGCGGCTTGTGGCGGCGGTAGTTCCCTGAGAGCGTGTCCCCGCGGCTGTGTCTGCCTGTCCGTTCCGTGCGGGCGGTGCGGTGGCGGCGCGGGGCCGCGCTGCGCCCCGGCCCCCCCCGCCCCGCCGCATTGTGGA